TTGTTGGCCTCTCATCAAACATTTATTAATATCCTACTGTGTGCCAGGTTCTGTAGCAGACACTAGAAATAACAAAATAATACAGCAAGAAGTTCAATCAAAGGTAAGAAACATACACACACATCACACGAGATATAAAACAATGTGGGAGAATTATACCTTGGGAGGGTCCCAGGCTCTAGAAGCAGGGAGGAGAGAGGGCTTCACCTCCCTGGGGTTTACCACAAAGACCAGAGGCTTGGAGTCCAGTGGGTGAGTTGAGTTGTCTGTGAAATGGAAGATGCGTTTGGGGCACAGAGATTTGATGAGGGAGGTAGAGGGTACATAAAGGGCTGGGGTTTGGAGAGGTGACTTGGAAACATTGACCACTGTGACTCCTCCATATGGGGAATGAGGAAGCACCAGTCAGCTGCCTGCTGCAGAGATGACCCCAGGCCAGCACGGTGGATGAGGGGATGTTTGGGGTCATCTTTGTTATTCCTCCCCTCCTTTCCGTACCTCTGTCTGAGTTGTGGCCCAATTACCTTCCTTCCCCAGGAGGCAGCTTTTATTTTGGGATCATACTTCCCCAAATGCTGTCCCTCTTCAATCTGGGAGTGGCCACTCTGAGCACCAGTATCGTCCACGCCCTCCTGCAGGTCTGGGACACAGATCCTCCTCTCCCCTGGGTAACGGCCACGAGAAGCAGCCTCGGAAGGCTACCCTGGAAGGCTCCCACGCAGGGACACCAGTTCATAGGAAGGCCACTGCACCCATCGGTGCGTGAAGATGCAACTGTGGGGCACAGGGTGGTGGGCCTTGAGGGGTGATGCGGGGAGGCTGCCTGGAGCTGGAGGGAGGCTCACTTACAGAGCCTGCCATCCTGGTTCAGGACCCCGGGCACGTGCTGGGGCCCACTAGCTTCTCTCCTGGGCTACCATCCCACTGGGGGGATTAGGTGAAGGATACAAGTGGTGTGGAGCCAGGCCTGGGATCCCCAGGCCCCCTTCCAGCTCTTGAGGACCCATATGAAAATGTGGCAGTGACTGGGGGAAGAGGGGTGATGCTGTGAGGGAAATGAGCCATCTACAAACCAAAGGTCTCCAAGCAGGCAAAGGCCAAGCCGCAGAGAACAATCCCCCTTTGCTTCATGGACATGGCTCTTTCTCTGAAAAATCTGTGCTCCAGACCAGAACATTCCTATTAGCAGTGTCCTGTGGGACCCTAGTTGTCCCACATTTACATCTGTGGGCCTTGCCACTGGGGTCAACACAGTCTGCTTACCAGGGATCTGACCCAGAGAGCTTCAAGAGGACTGTCATCTACATGGGACCCCTCTTTACACGAGGCCACTCTTTGAGAATAAGAGCAATAACGGCTCCCAATTTACTAAGCACTTGATGTGAGGCATCTGCTGGGCCATTTACATGTTCAGTCATCCTTCTGTATCCCTAGGGGATTGGTTCAAGAACCCCAGGGATACCAAGATATAGATGCTCAAGTCCCCAATATCAAATGGTATAGTTTTTCCATGTAATCTCATGCTTCCTCCCAGATATTAAATCATCTCTAGATTTCTCATAATACCTAATACAATGTAAATACTATGTAAATACCTGCTACATTGTCTTTAAAATTTGATTAATTTTTATTGCTGTATACTTATTTGTTCCTTTTTTCTGAACATTTTTCATCAGCAGATAGTTAAACCACATGGATCCAAAACCCGCAGATACAGACGGCCAACTGTATGCTTTGTAAACTTAACTTAAGCTCGTGACTGGGAAGTAGAAGGGGAGGATTCAAATTCAGACCATGCGACTGGCATACTCCGTCCATCGTGTGACACTTTCTCCTTTCTCTGAGAAAGACAGGGAAAGGGCTAGAGATAATCTGGTGGCCTCTGATACACGCTTAGATAGAACGTGGGTCTGGGCTCACATGGCCACAGGAGCTTACTCCAGTTCTGTGCATTCCTGCAGCATGGTCTGATGGGAAGAATGCAGGGGGTCCACCATGTCGAGGGGCCCAGAGTTTAGCTTCTGTCCCCACCAGTGAAATGTCCAACCTTGGGCGAACATAGTGTCAACTGTAAAATTAGGATAATAATGAACACCTATTCACGTCAAAAAACAGAATGAATGAGTTTACAAACGATGCTCCCTGGAAGCCCAGGACGGAGTTTCTCAAGCGTCAGAATGCACAAAACCACCTTGTGTAGGCTTGTTAAAATGCAGGTGCCCAGGCCTCAACTGCGAGATTGGAATCAACTGGGCAATACAAGGCCACGGAATCTACACTCTATTCCACATCCCCAGGTGATTCTGTGGCTGAGAGACAGCAGGTGTGGAGAACCCTGGACCTCACCTGGGTGGTTGGCGCCTCCAGCAGGGCGGGTGGGAAATGAAGGAGTCCGTGGGTGGGATTCAGAGTCTCCCAGCCCAGCTTCACCCAGAACTGTTCTGTTTGTATCTCTATTATATATTGAGGTTTCAAGTAAAATTTCATTTAAAGGAGGAATGCATGATTTAAATATTAAAATAAAAAAATATATTAAGATTGCAATGCATCGTCACACATGAAAATGCTTTGGGTGAGTTAAAGGTGTTCTCCAGATGAGAGCAATTTTACTAAAACGGTGGCCATCTGAAACCCTCTGGGAATGAATCATTCTGGAGAGCCTAATCTTCCTGATAACATTAAAACTTTTTATTAAATGTTAATCGTTTTGTGGGAAATATGTTACACTATTTCTTGCCTTTTAAAAGGGAGAATAAAGAATGTAATATAACTGTTGTTTAAAAGCTCAGGACCACCACTCCGATACTGTGTGGCCATCCCGAAAGTGAGTCCTGCCAAGCTTCACATGGACAGTGCCTCCATTGGACCCCACTGTTTGTCTCTTCCACTCAGGCCACGGTTTATGCAACATCAAGTAGAGGCAGAAAAATGCAGTGAAAACAGGGGACACTGGAGAATCAGGAAGATGAGCTCCAGCCTCCATGGTAGCAATCAAGAGTCACAGAACCCAGAGGAAGTCCCCTCACCTGGCCCTGCTTTCTTTATCCATAAGGGAAGAGGCTGGACCAAGCCGTCTCCTGAAGAGGGGTCCTGTCTCTAAGGTGGGGGCTGCAAACTCCACGGCCATCGGGGCCAGGCCGGTAGTGCTGGGGGAGAACGGGAGAGCAAATGCCCAGCTGGGGCACAGCCACCACTTTGTGCCAGCAGACTGTCGACGTGAGTGAGGGCCCACTGCTAGCAGGTCTTCTAACTTGCCCAGAAAAACTGGACTTTCCTGTGAAAGCTCTGCATTCCTAAAATGTTGGCGCCTGTGGAGGATATGGGGGTGCTGGCTCCCACATTTCCCACTCTTCTCTTTTCTAGGGGAGGCCTTTTGTTCTTCAGAGACCAGAACATCAAATACCACATTTCTCATTTCCTTACAGCTAGGGTTTGGGATGCAAATCAGCTTGCATCAATGAGAGTAAGTCACAGTTTTGAAAGGCAACGTAAGGCAGAGGCTGTCTTCTGAACCCCTCTCCAGAGCCTGAGCTGCCAGGAAGTGTGGGGAACACAGGTCAAACGAAACTCATCTGTAGGCACCACTGTAACCGAGATCTCTTCTGGCTCTCACACTTGTAAGACAGGGGGTGGCAGGGTAGACAGGCCTCAGGTGGCTGATCTGCAAGGGGCCACCTACGCCCACTGGGTCTTTTCTCCAAATGTCTCTTCAGCCTCCAACTCCACCCATGAGGGTCACGTGGTCGCTCAATGACCCAGCAAAGCTCAAGCCCTGGCGTTCTCTCCTGGACTCCAATGCCCAGCTTTTTCCCATAAGGAGGATTAAGGACAAACAATTCTGTTTCCCAAAGCAGGACAGAGATTGAGACTCTTCGGGCAGGGTCCTGCCAGGACAGTTGGCATATGGAGCCCCTACGGCTTCCTCCATCCCTTTCAGCGTGTTCCAAAGGGAGCAGCTGGGGGCTTCATATCAAGGGCTCAAATTTCCAACCCTGTTACTCTTGAGCTGCCCAAACTGAATTGGATCTGCCTAAGTGGTATGTGGGTAGGGAGGATTTTAGGCATGTTTGTGGGGACACGTTTCATGAGCACCCTTTTTACACATAATAGCTGCTACTTACCAGGGACCCACTGTGTTTCAGACACCATTTCTCATCCTACAACCACCCTGAGGGGCAGACATCGCTGCCTCCATTTTACAGATGAAGTAACTGAGGCTTGCCAAGGTTAGTGACTTCCCTAGGATCCCACAGATAGTGTTAGAGCCAGAATTCAAAGGCAAACTCCTTCTCTTCGTTATTCTTGAGGAACCAGGGTCGGATTACTCTTGGACCCAGAGCAAGCAGATTCTTTTCAAAGGCGTCCAGGCCCTTGGGCAAGCCTGCCAGTGGGTTAGGTAAGGTGATCCTGCCTCCTAGTGGTCAGGTCGGTGGCTCAGTTCCTCACACTCGAGGCAGGAAGCCTCTCCCACCTCCCACCTTCCCAGGGGCCCTGGCAGCTGGCTATTTCAAGAAGTGGGCTTGGCCACTCTGGGACAGGGAGGCCTGGGAGCAAGTGAAAGCAGCTGGCTCCTGTTCTCAGGCCCCTCACCTCTCACCCGGGGAGTGGCAGCCACAGCCCGGGGCCCTCCACACACATCAGTCCTGTTCAGATAGAACATTAGACACATTGACTCCCTCCCCACTTGCGGGGCACCTGCTTAACTTTTTACATCTGTTGCCTTAGTTCCCACTCCCTCACCCTCTCCCAGGTGGCGATTAACTACTAAGTTCTCTTACGATCCAGCCATCCAGAACTTGGCATGAGAAACTGCTCAAGAATTACACTTTGGAGGGTGGGGCCAGGGACACTATATTTATCTTTATCTGAACAGTTTAATCGCTTTGAGACCTTTTCTTTAATAATAATCACAGCACACATACACGTGCGCACGGGCACACGCACGCGCACACACACACACACACACACACACACACAGATTTTCATTAAACCTCACAATCTTTTTTCAGTTCAGCATAATTTCAATTATTTATTTAAATACAACCATAAATATTCACACACACACAATAAAAGTCAATGTCACGAAGCCCCTCCTCCAGTTGCCTGTGCTCCAGATTTTGAGTGCAGACACCTGACACTGTTCTTCCAGGAGCACGTGTATGTCACACTCTGTCATGCCAATTAGCTAAACAAAAGGTTTGTCTCTTCCTCTCCTGAAAATGCACATTTCCCTGTTTTGAGCATGTGTGTTGTTAGATGATGTGAGTCTCCGCAGGAGCCCTGCAGCCCCTGGTGACTTTGAGTGGCAGCAACATTCTCCGCTGCAAGTGAGGAATCCCTGTATGGCCAGGCCACCTGCTACTGTTGCTTCCGTAATGATCTCAGCAGCACAGAAGTCCTGATTAAAAAAAATAAAAGTATTAATTCTAGTGGCTTCACAGTAAGCCATTAATTTCCATATCCCTTGCAGATCTCCAAAATTGTATCTGGCTTAAACCTAGAAAAGAAATGATCTCGTGACACTTTTTGACCTTCTATTTAAGAATATCTCCTGTCCTCTTCACTTGTAATCTCTTTTTCCCTTCTAAACGGAGCTAACTCCTACCTATGCTATGTGATTCTGCCCAGGCACTGCCTCCTCTGGGAAGCCCTTCCTCACCACCGGGGTGGGCTATGTCCCTTCCCTCCATGCCTGGTAATTGGATAGCACAGGTGTTTCTTGAGAACCAAACAATGTAATTAAGGCAGAAGTATGTACATGCATCTACAGATAAAATTCAAGAAAAATCAATAAAACTTGACTTAAGTAACTTCTGATTTTGGAGGAAATCTTGGTTCAGAGGAATGAAGATCAAAACCCTAAACCATTTAAATGTTTTATTGCACTGAATTAAGAGTTGCAGCTCCGTTTCTAAAAACTGAAATTCTTAAAGAATTCTGTCAAGAACCATATTGAAAAATGTTATTTGCCCAAGGGACCACAAATAAATACATGCTTAAATGAAACTAAAGAAATTTAATTAAGTGTATGAACAGTTATACTAAATGATTTCTCCAGGAAGCCAATGGGAAATTATACCTAACAAGTAGCAACAGAATAAGGTCTGTTGTTGAGAGGTTATTAACCTAATCACATAATCAAATTTCACCACCAGCCGTAGCCATCTGATTTGCCCATGTCAAAATAAAACCATTGTTAACCCTTCTTAATGAAATCAGAATGGAGAGGAGGAGGGTGGCTGGCTTTAGAACAATGTAGTTCTTTAAAAACAAGGCTTACAAATTTTATTTTCTTCCCCTAACACCAAAAACAATACCTTACCATTGTTGAGTAAAAATATGAAGCTATCCAGTTTTTAAAAAATGAAATTGGAAATGAAATTCATGGATGTTTCTCTTCACAAAAGTCATTGACAAAGGGGGAAATAAACAAATTGGTTTTGCTCTCAAAATTTGGTGAAGCAAATTTGTTCCAAGGCTGAGGTGTTCCTTGCCAGTTTTAAACCCAAGGTGCATTTTTATAGCCAAGAACTAAAGCCCTGAAACACAGTGATCCACAGAATAATGGAAATGCTGACACAACCTTCACTTCGGCAGCAGGAATGGTGCCACTATAATTTATGGAGAACACATTTTGGTTTTGTCAGGTTTTTAAACATAGACTGTTATAAATTTGAGGGAGGACTGTCTTGTTAAAGCTTCAAATGGCATGTGTTAGTATTGGTTATGCATCATGTCTTGTGTTTGGAATGGCATTTGTATTTGGAATGACCTTGTGATGACAGTTTATCCCAATGGGAAAAGAGGACTTTGAATCCTGTTTTATTTTCAAAACAATATTCACTGATTAAAAGCATCATGGTCACCAGCCACATGACCAGACCAGCTAGAAGATCTAAGGTGTACACCCTCAGATACAGTTCCCTTTCTTCCTTTTTTCAGGGATACAGTCATTATTTGACAAAAATATCCAGTGTCATGTCCTATCCTAGGCAATGGAGATAAAATCCTCGTTGTGATGCTATCTCTGCCCTCTGGGATCTTATATTTTGTAGAAAGAAAAAAATTAACACTATATATAAATATATGCATGTGTAGATATTACATACACCGTCCAAACCACACATCCTTAACCAAAGTGGAAAGAAATCTTAAGGAGAGCTCACACTGGAGGGAGGGGCCCAGCAGCAGGTAACGGGCCCCCACTCTCCAGCTTCTGTTGGAGCTATAGGGTGGGTGGGTGAGGAGTGTAAAAGGCTAATCTCAGAGGTGGTGAGCATAGATTGCACACTCAGAGTTCTGAAACTGATTTCTTTAGAAGGAGTAGATAAGTGGGGAATACCAATCTGTCTCACCCTATTATGCTTTTGCCTTATTTACATCAGCTATTAGAGGTAGTAATTCTTGTACCCTGTCTCTGAAAGGAGTTAAGGAGTTGTTCATGATAATCCTCATTATCAGGATTTTTTTTTTTTTTTTAGATGGAGTCTTGTTCTGTTGCTCGGGCTGGAGTGCAATGGCATGATCTCTGCTCACTGCAACCTCCACCTCCCAGACTCAAACGATTTTCCTTCCTTGGCCTCCCAAGTAGCTGGGACCACAGGCGCCCTCCACCACGTTGGGCTAATTTTTGTATTTTCAGTAGAGACGGGGTTTCACCATGTTGGCCAGGCAGGTCTCGAACTCCTGATCTCAACTGATCTGCCTGCCTCAGCCTCCCAAAGTGCTAGGATTACAAACATGAGCCACTGTGCCCAGCCTATGAGTGTTTTTTAATAGATAGAAATTGTGATAAGCATAAAGACAGCAGATTTGCCTGCCTACTCTTATCACCTTCTAAAGTTATGACCTTGAAGCCTCAGGATTCACACTCTGTGGAATGGGCATAAGCTAAGGATAACCCCATTAGAAGTAAAGATATCACAAGAGTCTCAGGGAGGACCCATGCAGAGCAAGGTCCATGGTTCAGTCTACCAGTTAGGAGTCGAGGGACTTGACTGTAAAAAAGATGGCCCTGAATATGACGTGAACTGGGAAGCATCTTCCAGTGGGGTATCATGCCACCGTAAAAGGTGATATTTATAAAGACCATAATAATAGTTAATATCTATTGCACACTCACTAGGCTATGTGCTCTTTTATTTCATTTGAGGATCACAGGAATCTTTTGTTAGATGCAGAAGCTGAACCTCAGAGGTCAGCAATGTTGCCAAGGTGGGTAACCAGAAGTTCTGGGACGGTCTCACTTCATGCCTGATGTTTTGGGTTCATGACTGATAGGGCCCCCTTTCACTCTCCTGTGTGTTTTCATTTTGGCGATGAGTTTTATGATGACCCAGCGTCACACAACTCATAAGTGGCAGAATCAGGATTTGGACTTCTGCAGTCTGACTCCAAAGCCCACACTATTACATAATAAATACGTTTTTGTGAGAAAAAAGGAGAGTGCAAAATTATATGTGTATATTATCCTAATTGTTTCTTAAGTATCTTGTGTGTAGGGAAAAAAAGCCTGGAAGAAAATGCATGAGTGATTAGGTGTAGATGGAGGGAGTAGAATAGATTTTAAACCGTTCTGTCTAATTTATGGGTTTTCTAAATTTTCTTTAATTAGAATGTATGGCTTTTATAATGAAAGTAATATTTTTTAAAGTGCAGGCATAAAAAAGTATCTCAAGTATTATTTCATGAATAAGTATTGATATTTTAGATGCTATCAAAAATTGAGTACATTGAAGCCAAAAAGAAATTAAAGAGGACAAATAGGAGGAAAAGGAGGAGAAGAAAAGGGGAAGGCCCTTGGACTAAAATTTGTAAAACCAGAGATGGAATCTATAATCACTCTAACTGGCCATGGTGTGGCTCTAAGCGTGAAGACCTTGAGTCCTCCAAAGTCCCCAGAGGGTCAAATCTAAGGGAGAACACAGTCACAGACATGTGTGTCACAGTCACAAAATGTATTTTAAAGGAAATCTGGAGATTTGAATATGGACTGGATGTAAGACGATATGGAATTACTGTTACTTTTTAGAGGGTAGGATAATAGTATTATCAGCTATAAGAAAGAATCTTGTTCCTCCCGGGGGATGCATACTGAAATATCTAGGGTGACAAGTCATCAACAATGCCTCAACTCACAACCGTTCAAATGGTTCAGGGGAAAGTGTGTATGTGTGTATAAACAGAAAGAGAGCAAATGTGGCAAAATGTTGATAACTGCTTCTATTTGGAAGGTACATGGATATTCATTATAATGTACCTTGAATTTTTTGTTAGATTTGGAAATATTCAAAATAAAAAGTTGTGATAGAGTTTTTTAAGAAACCTTTGAAATGTAATATAAGAAAACAAAAAAGCATGTATTAAAATAATCATAATAAAGAATACAGGTTTTAGAGCCAGAGACGCCAATGCTAGTTATGTGGCCCAAGTGTTGAATAACCTTGAGACAGCCTCATTTTCTCAGTTTCTTCATCAAAACGGTGATGATAATCAACCTCACACGCTTTTGTACAGGATCAAAATAAGGTTTTGTGTGTAAAGCCTCCATTGCAGTGCCTGTCCACAGTTGATGTGAATAAAAAATAATCTACTCAAGTGACACAAAATTGGAACTTTCGGAAGAACGTGTAAAGCTTTGAGGAATTCAAAACAAAGAAAGCTCTCTCCTTCTATTGCCATGCTTTTTGTATAAATACAACTGAGCTTGATGTTATATTACAAACGAATAATTCAGAAGTTTGGTTTAGATGGAATCAAGTGGTCTGAATCTTTATAATCCCTGACCAAATCTTCTCGACCACAACTGGTTTCTATTGGATCTATGTTTACTTGGGTTTTGGTTTGTGGTGTTTTACCTTAGCCAATCATCCCTAACTCTGACCTAGGGGTCAAGCGAAAAGCAAAGGAGCTCCAGTTCAACCCACACAGGTAGCTCCACAGGGCTTGGTAGGGTCATCAGAGCACTCCCAAATGAAGAATAAACTTGGGTTTCTTACATCAGTATTCTACCTAAATAAAACAACAAGATACAAGTTGATGTGCTGGGAATGATGACTATAATAGTAAAAAGTGAATCTTCAGTATTTTACTCACACACATTTATTGTTTATTATGTGTGCCTATAATGTACTAAAGAAACAGAGATCAGTAAGATACTGTCCCGGCCCGTAATCTGGTGGAGAGGGGGATTGACGTGTACATCGTTTATGATAATGATACATTTGCACAGCGCTTTAGAGTTTACAGACCAGTTTCCGCATGTGGCTTCACTCGGCTAACCATAGAGAGGTAGTGTCACTGGTGGGCAGTGTCCGGGGTGTCTTCTCATTGAATTCCCTTATTTTGCCTTCACAAAGTGATACTATAACAAGCACTCTCGGGCTGAAAAAGCTTCCG